GGGGCGACCCAACCAACATTTTCGATGCACCAGGGGCGACCCAACCAGCTTTTTCGATGGATGAGGGGCGATCCAACCAACATTTTCGATGCACCATGTCTCCACTGGTGCATTGACTTTGGGGGTCATGACAGCCTGATCCAGGATGGGGCCAGGTTGAGGTTGAATGGATGAACAGGATTGAGTGCATTGACTTTATGTTACAATCCCCAATTTGTTTTCGATGGTCTAGGGGTTGTCCATACCATTGAAAACCTATATTTTGATAGGTATGCATCAAAAAATCAACGAAAAAAAGAACTGAACCTATGATATTTTTAAAATAGAGTCAATGCACTAGGCGAGGTCTATACGATTGAAAAAAATCAAAGTCAAAGATAATTGTCGATGCACTTAAGCTTGTTCAACTCTGATCATCAAGGATATCCACAGCTTTTTCCATTTGCTCAAGGCCAGCCCAACATGACCTCCCTTTTCAAGCAAAAGGTTGAGGAGCGAACTCAAAGCTTGGCTGATGCTGATCCGCCTGCAAAGCGACCGTGCTCACAGTATGAGAAGAAGATCCAGAAGCTACCCAATGGTGATCTTTCTTTGGTGCGGGACCATGGTCTTCCAATGAGAAAGAAAATGGACCATATAAATAAGCACAGCAACCATAGATAATGTGGGGACATACATAACGCACATGATAGGCTAAATGCATTTAGTAAACACATAGCAAAAAACCTATTGATTTAAAGTTGTAATTATACATATAAGTATACATGTTTTTGCTTCATACATAGATTCATGCATACATCCACTTCAAATAGATTTAGACTAAACAATCATCCGGTCTTGTGAAACATGTTATGCAATGATAAAAAGCAAACCCAACCTTAGAGACTTCATTCAATATGGAAATCCATCAACATAAAGATGAACATATTCCTTCCTCCCTGTGCAGGACATCTTACACTTTGTCATGTCATTCCGAAAGGAAGATGCCACCGATACCGTGGGTCACCCTGCTCAGTTGGTTGTGGATATGCTTGGATGCGATGATGACCAATCCCGGAAGTTCCATTGTGGCCAATTGGAAGCTTGGTACCAGGAGTATGCTCAGCACCGGGGAGTGCCTGCCCTTTTCAAGAAGCCAGGGTTTGTATCTCGACTAATTGTTGAAACCATACACACAACTTTCATGCCAACAAGTATGGTTATCATCATGTTCTTCATCAACACATAATTTGGATTCAATAGCCTGTCCAGGTACTGGACCAGTCGATGGATGATGAGATTGTCAAGATCCCCTTGGTCTGCCTCAAGTTGAAATCTTAACCTGCAGGAAAACAACAACATACAACAACTATATAGATATGAATTAAGTTTTTTCCCAAACCAAAATGAAAGAAACAAACTTAAAGACACCAAGGTTTGATAAACCCGACGATGGCCTCCCGGTCATGGAAGATTGGTGCACTACTTTCGAGAGCATGTTGTTCTCGGGAATTGAGCTCAACCGCGAACCCCTGGATATTTCGGCTGTCCCAGGAGGTGTTACTGTTTAGATCTGCTCACTAGACCCAAAATCAAGGTTTTGTAATCTATGTTCTTCATCTCAATTAAGGCATATGATTCAAGTTAAGGATTTGCTTCCCCTGCCCTGAAGGCACTTGTGACTTTCAGTCAGTGGAACCAGTGAAGGGTTGGACCAGGGCCAGTGTTATCGCATTGATTCTCATTGCGGCGTCTGAGCTGGACCATGTCGACCCAGCCACTGAAGACAAGCTGAAACCGTTGGCCAAAGTACTGGATAAGTGCTGGTGCCTTCCGTGCCATGCAAACCAGCTCCATATAAACAAATCATTGTTTGCTGTTTTTCTCTCGCTAAGAAGATGTCCCTATGTAGACCACTGAAAACATATTTTAAACCTGATTTGGTTGAAGCCCATCCTCTTACATCCCAATCTGATGCTAAGGTGGAATTTGGCCTAGATGCTGCAGCTCGGAGCTTTAGGAACTTGGTGGTAAGCTACCGCTCTGCCGAAAGGCAAGCGCCCAACTGCTTGCAGCTCGCGCTTCGGTTCAGCCGCCTCATGGAGTTGGCGGAGACAGAAGGTCGCCACTTGAGCTCCATGACCACGGAAGAGCGCCTGCGAGCAATCATCGCAGACTTCCATGAATCCCCAGGCCTATCCAACAAGAACTTCTTGGATGAGGACAAATCCGCAGCAGACTGAACCTCATAGTAGGTTCTTGCCCTGACCCTGGGATTAATCATCAGTTTATGTTTACCCTATCAGTGGCTGAAAGCATATCAAAACTTCCCATGCACACTACAACCTCCCTGTGGATGCAAAAAGGTTTTGGTTATGCGTTGTTTGTTTCTTTTGAGGAAGCGCGCGAAGTGCTACGTGCTCATTTGGATCACAACAAGTGGAAAGATGCTGCCATCAACACCGAACAACTCAGATCGGTGCGGTGGATGGTGGGGTCACAACCGAAGGGTAACACTTGCCCTGCTGAGCTTCGTCGAGTGCTTTGTGTGACTCCACAGTCACAGGTTCTCCACCTCAAACTGGTGGTGCATTTGTTTGGTGAGCAGAGCCGACGCTTGAGAGCTTCAGCGAGGTCACGTGTACGCTTGAGCTCCGATCAGTTTGATGATTTCTTTGCTGACTTCGCGTGCATGTATTCCATGGTTCTCACTGAAGCTCGCCAGTTGTCAACATGGAATGCAGAGAAAGAGGAGACCCTGATGAAATCATTTTTCCAGCGGTGCTTGGGCTTGACTTGAAATCATATGTTTTGTTTCGGGGTGGTTTTGTGAGAAAATTTCAAATCAATCCATGATTGAACCACTCAAGGTTCGAAGCATTTGATTTTTATGTTTTTTGGTAACGTTTTCTGACTGGTGTTGTATCAACCAACATCTAAGGGATTACAAAGCTGATGTGGAAGCCATTGTGACCAGTAAGCTGGCAACATGGAAGTTGCAGCACTTCGGACTCTGGCATGATCTGGTCGCACCAGTAACATCACCGGTTCCAGAGACCTCTGCAGCAGAGGTGATGGATCTGGAGGAGCAGGCCCACCAGGCCAAATACCGGGAGCTGAGGGCAAAGATCGCTCAGGACCTGAGCACAATGACTGCGTTCAATGCCAAGTCAGATGAGAACGATCGCAGAAGCCATGTTGTTAGTGTGATGCATGAACGTGCCCAAGTCCAGATTGGCAAGGAGTTGCTCGGCTATGCCAGGCTGATTATTTTTTAATGTTTTAATAAGAAGTTGTTTTAACCAGGCAAACCAGTTTGACAGAGTGTGTCATAGTTGGAATCCTATCAGGCTGTGTGAAAGCTTCATGGAGAAGAGCTGTCGTGTGATGCTGTCAACTGAGAAGAACTCCTTGGACGCGGGGATGACCGGCCTTCTGAAGAATTTGGCAGTTTCCAAGAAGGCTTGGCGAGTGATGAAATTTCACCATGGTGAGTTTTGCAAATGTTTTCTCTAATGATTGGGTGGGTGGATTGCTTGGGCATTTCTGATTTAGGTGAACATCAATGATTTGCATGTGGTTCTCTATGTGGATTGTACCAAGATGGGTGTACTCTCACAGATCGAAGTCAACAACATTGGAGCCATGGCTGAGAAAGTGTTGGGCCAGAATCCGCAACGTTTCTTGGTATTACTTCATCCCATGTTGACCCACCTCTTGTATGAACCCTGCATTTCATTCAGCCTTTGTTTTATATCTTTTTATTATCTAAGGCTCGGTGTTGGTTTTGATTCCACCACTCCTGGTGGGAAGCGATGCAGGTGGTTGCCTCTGTCGAGACATGAGGTGTGCTTCCAATGTGACATTATGGTTGGGGCTGTTTGAAGTCATAAGCTTTTTGCAAAAATAATGAGGGCTATGATCACTGGCAGGAGGTTGGAGGACAAATTGATGGCTTCACGCATTGGCTTGCGTGCTTTTACGCTCAACCTGAACACTGACGAGCTCCACAAAAATCGTGAAAGCCCATCAGCATATGTGTGCTATTTAGGTGTATCAGATGTCAGCTTGCCTGGCAAAGGCACAGCTCACCGAAAGGTGAGAGGAGCACCGGAAGCTGAAGTGGGCATCAATGAGTCAATTGGCTTTTGCTCCCTCTTGATCAATATTTTGTTTCATTTCATTGGGATCCATATTGTCCTTGGTTTTTTGCTTTAGTCATCTTTAGTCCAGATGCAAGGTTCTGCGCAAGTCATTTGTGGACACGTCAGGCATTGCCATCAAGTTCTTTTCCAGCAGCTCTCAACGAAAAGGATTTCATTGTTCCAGGATGCGGTCAGGAGACTCTTCTCAGTCATGATCAACGAAGGAACTTGACAGACCATCAGGAAACCAGTCAATGGTTGGGGGGGTCTCATGGTGCCGAAGCAGCTTCTCTCAGCTTTGTTTAGTTGGGGCCTTGGTTGATATGTGGTGTGTGTGTGTTTGATTGATTGCCTTTGTCTGTGTGCAGCGCTTTCAAAACGATCAATATCTACTTTACTGAGGTGGCATCAAATGTGTCCATGGCGCCATGATTGTCCACCCGGCTGCCTGTGATGGCTGCGTCGAGCTTGGGGCTATGCAGTTGAACTATGTAGCACTTGGTGGAAGCCCCGTTGAAGTGCACTACAAGTGTGCACGGGAGATTGTCAAGAGCCATCTCCTTCAGGCATGAGTGATTGGGACATCCTTTGTTGAATTTTTTCCCCAGTGTTTTTTCCCTCCCCATTGCTCTGATCACATCGCACAACATCCCCTTAGGCCTGGAAAAGCGGGCAGAGCCCTATGGACAAGTGCACCCCGCGTTACAAGGCTCAACCTCCAGCAGAAGACATGCCCAAAGCCATGGAACGACCACAGCTCAAGGTTTGCCAGGTAGTGAACGGCAATCTCGTGCTGCCCTCCGAAGGTGCCCTGGGATGACTCACAAGGGCAGCCTGATGGGTGGGATGCTTTTGGGTTGATGATACCGCTATGTTCCCTTTCAACCTTCTTGATGAAGAAGATGATAAGCAGAATGGTGATGAATCCCAGTTTGACGGTGAGAACCTCTCTTTGATGCCCGAGCCCATCGTTTCTGAGAACAGGCCCGTGGATTTGTCTTTGAAGGTGGTTCCTGAGAACAACCCCACGGCTTCTGAGGGTGAGCCCATGGCTTCTGAAGCTTCTGGCAACAAGAAGGCCACTTCTGAGGAGCAGTTGGAAAAGAAACGTGCTTCTTCCAGAGCTTGGCATCAGAAGTGGGAATCCAAAGCAGTTCTCAAGAAGCAGAAGACTGGTGAGGCTGGTGACGGTGAGCCAGCGCCAAAAGCAAAGGCAGCCGCGAAGCCGAAGTCATCACCGAAGGCAAAGGCAGCGCCAGTTTCGGTGCGCTCACTCATGGCGACCAGGGAAGAGCTTCTACAAGAGGTGATTGCGTCTTCATCTCCTGGTCCTTCAACTGCCAATGATCGAGATGACGCTCCTGATGATGATGAGGAGTACACACCCACAGAACCTGAACAGCCTGACACAGAGGAGAAGCCCCCTGGCGATGAACCTGCGCCTCAAGAAGGACGCCAACTACAAGGTCATCATGGCTTAGTGCCCTCATTTCACGCCAGTTCTCGTGAGACTCCACCTGTGCATTCAGCTCCAGGTCAGGTCTTTCCGTATCCATTTTCAGCAAATGAGCTTTTGCCATTGGTGTCTAGCTTGGCAGGTGGTACACCCACTCCGTCTATGGCACCTCCTTCATCCTTGAGTCCTTCAAGACGAACTTCACAGAGCTCTATGGCGATGCCTGGACCTTTTTCAAGGCAGAGCTCTACGGCACTGGACCGGCCGACGGAAAGTGAAGAGAAGCTTCCTGCCGTTCCTGAAGAGCATGCTGAACCTGAAGGATCAACGGTTCCTGGAGAATCAGCGCCTGCCTCCCGAAGCACTTGGGAAGTGTTTGAGATGGCCAAATGGGCCTGGCCGCCTGCTGGTGCATCTCCGAATGAAGTTTTCCTGGCTCAGCAAACGGGTGCTGGCAACCACAGGGAGATGCGCTGGAAGCATATGGATGAAGAGACAAGGCAGGAATTCCGTGCAGCCACTGATGATCAGTGGAGCAAATGGGTTGACAGCAACGCCATTGAGGTGTTGAACTTGCAAGACGGCCGGGCAGCCTACCAAGACCTGGAACGAAAAGGTGAACTTGATCGCATCTTGAAGCCCCGGCTGGTGATGACTGACGAGAATGCTTCATTGAGGACTCCTACATGTCCCTTGCCTTTGAAAGCCTCATCCAGGATAGTGATCCCTGGATACAAGGATTTAGCCAACCTGCAAGGAGAGCTTCGACGAGACGCTCCAACTGGAAGCCGCTTGGCACAGCGCCTTTTGTTTTGCATTGCTGGTGCACATCCCCAGTGGAAGTTGAGAAGTGCAGATGTGCGAGCTGCTTTCTTGAAGGGTGATCCCTACATCAAGCGCACCCAGTACATCACTGGAACAGGTGGCTCAAGAGGCCCACGATTCCAACCCTGCAGGATGCCTGGCGAAAGTGTTGAAAGGTGTTTTTGGATTGGCAGATGCGCCAAGAGAATGGTGGCTACGCCTGAGTCGAGAGCTCCATCAAGAGAAGTGGGAACGCTCCATGCTGGATGGCGCCTTGTGGTACTACTGGCTGGACGACAAGAAGAGCCAGAGTCAAGAATTGGGTGGCATCATTGTTGGCCATGTGGACGACCTGTTGTTTGCAGGGTCTGATGAGGCCTTGGCTTCGCTCATGCGCCTTGGCGACGTCTTAGGCTATGGGTCAGTGGAGGAGGAATGCTGCCAGTGGTGTGGCAAGAAGATCTACAGAGATCCCACTACCCGTGAGATAGTTGTCAACATGACCACCTACCACTCTCAGCTCAAGCCCATTGTGGTGCCCCGCCATCGACGAGCGAACTTGGAGTCGCCTTTGACTCCAGCTGAGTCGAAGACCCTACGAGGAGTTTTGGGTTCCTTGCAATGGCTTGTAGCACAAGTCAGGTTTGACTTGGCCTTCATGGTGAGCACCTTGCAGAGTGAGGCCCACACGATAAGCACTTTGCTTCGGGCCAACAAAGCGCTCATCGACGCCAAGAAGGACAGTGACTTCAGCCTGCGGTTTGGCTACATCCCACTGAATAAGGCAGGCATCCTCTCTGTGACTGATGCCGCCCTTGGCAATGTGGACGAGCATGGCAGAGTCAGTGGAGACTCCTCAAAGCGTGTGCATTCGCAGAGCTGCTACTGCATCATGCTGGCCGACGAGCAGCTCTTGAGTGGAAAGCGAGGACGCTTCTCAGTCCTCGACTTCAGATCCCACAGGATCCCTCGAGTCTGCAGATCCTCCTACGCCTCGGAGACCTTGGGCGCAGAGGAAGGGCTGGACGCAGCAGAGCTGAGCCGAGGCTTTGTTGCAGAAGCCTTGGGCTTGCCGATTCACCATCGGCACGGCTATTTGCTGGCGCCCAAAGTGCCGCTTACAGGAGTCACCGACGCCAAAGACTGTTACGACAGGGTGACATCGGATGTGGGCTTTGGCGACCAGAAGTCCCTCATGTTCTCCATAGCGAGCATTCGCCAGCAGCTCCGACGACCTCAAACAAGCTACCGCTGGACTGCGACGAGCAATATGTTCGTAGACTGCGGAACGAAAGCAATGGATCTCACCTCCGCCAGACGCTTTCTCGAGGTGAGTGGAGCATTGAGTATCAGGCCGAGTTCACACGGCAGACCACAAAGAAGAAGAAGAATGCTGAGAGCCTCGAGAAAGAAGAGGACTTGCCTGGAAGGCCCTGCGGTCCTGAAGATTTTAATTTGATGTCTCACGTCCAGCATTTTGCTGTCGCACCTGGTTGGCACTTTAAGGACAATGTTGGTGTTCATGTGGCTGTGCAAGCAAAAAGCTTCAGGAGCCCTGCACCGAGATTTCAGGTGCGAGATCATCCATGGCGAACGACGATGGCGAGATCATCCCTGAATTCAGCGTTCAGGGAACCCCGGACCCCGCAGTGGCGGATTTTAGAAGAGAAGGCAGACTTGATGGATCTGTCAAGTCACCAGATGCCGCTTTCCGTTCGTGCGAGCAGGATGGTGACGTTCTTTGAACCCCGTAGGCACAGTCTGAAAGAAAAAGAGAACAGGACGGATGTGAAACTTGAGTTTGCGCTTCGGTCTTGCTTTCAGACATGTTGCCGAGTTTGTTTCGTCGCGGCCTAAAAGGCCTTGAGCTTACTGGCACGAGCATAAAGAGGCATAGCAGCCGAACTTTCGTGTGACGACCGTTTCGCACGATCGTAGAGCCCCTTGCTTCCTTATATATACATATTGATACACTTTTATGTTTCTAGGTGAATGTATATGTGCATAATGTATGTATATAGGCATGTGGTGATTGGCCTGTAGGTATAGTATATGGTCCACCCGACTACACATCCAAACTCTTATCAGCAAATTTGCACTCCCTGTAGTTCATAAACATTTTGGTGTATGTTCCGCAATCCATTGGCAAAGCCGTGGTAGGGGAACGAACGATGCGAAAGGAGCAGGAGAACACCATTTCAATGAAAGGCCCGACAAAACCCACTAGGACCACCCAAGGGGTCACCAATGGAGTGGGGCATCCCTTTTGACGGTCCATTTGTGCCCCGACATCCGACATGCATGCGAGGGACTGCTTGAGCAGTCAGCATTGGGACGAAGTTTGTATGTACGTTGAGGAAGTGGAAACCAAAGCTCCATGAGAGGCACAGCCCAAACTGGTACGCAACATGGACCAATTGAAGTTGCTGGATGACAAGCATGCGCCCAGCCACCAACAATGGCTCTCCCAGTTCTTTGCCGGAAGCTTTCCACCGAACCGTCAATTTGAGTCAACCGGTACAAGAACACACACACACACTCACATACACACACACACACACCTGAAAACCCGGTCATACACATGTTCTCCTGGTACTGTAGCTGCCGGGCTTGTCAATGCATGCTGGAGGAGCTTCGTGGGGAGGAAATGGAGGGAGGAGGTCCTTGCCCCCAAAATGCGACCATGGGGTCATGCCAGGGACTGCTAGTGACTAGTGCTTCTCCATGTCTTTCTTAATCTTAGCTTTGAATCGGTCTCCAAGCTTGGACACCGGCCTCCCCAACTCAGACAACGTGTGTGGGATTCTTTGCAGCGGCTTCTCTGTCTTCAATCATCTTGGGGGCTTTGCCGTCTATGCCATGTTCCTGCTGGGCGGTGTGAGTGCTGGTCTGAATTCTTGGGGCCGGGCATTCCAGACCGAGAACCAATTGCAGGCACGGTGGCAGGGGTGACGGAAGGGGGTGTGGTTGTGGTTGGCGAGACGGTTGAGGTGGAAGCTCGCTACTAATTTCAGGTCCCATGACCAAGACAGGATGTGTTTTCCATGGCCCTTGTGAGAAACCGCTGGTTGACTCAACAGTGCTCGGCAGCGGCCAACGGTCTGCCCCGTTGGAGGCCTCCATCCCCTCGGTGCCCTCCGCGGTGCCGGAGTCCGCGCAGCGGATGTGGAACACCTTCCGTGTGAGCGCTGCAAAGTGGACGGCGCCCATGGTCAGCTCCAGGCTGCGTTTGGGATGAATGGGATGGATGGGAAATGCATGTGTCCACGACATTGTTCTGCAGAGAGGAAGAGGTATTGGGGTTCTTACTTCAAGTATAGGAAGAGGTGTCCGTGTGCGCTTTGGAGCTTACTTGCCGCTGGGTGCCCACCAATGTCTTTGGCTATCTGGGGTCTGGCAGTTATACGGGGGTGTGAGCCCCCAAGGGGGACCAGAATGGTTTGCTCAATCTTGGCTTTCCAGAAACGCTACTAGGAACAAAGGGCATCGCTACGAACGGAGCATGGACGCTACTAGGGCCTCCTGGCCGTACTACTAGGAACAAGGTTCGCTACTAGTAAACTTTAGTAAACATGGCTTAACCTTTCAGGCTCAAATCGTTATCGCCCGGGATGGTCATTGAGACTCTCCGTCCCAGACGGCCGTCAGGGCCGAAGCCTATGGCTCCTCTGGTGGCGTTTGCGGGCTCATGGGCCCCCTGAATGCGGTGCTGGAGGGAAGCCAGGGAGAAAAGTGACCCCCCCCCTTCCATCATGCGGAACTGGCCAGGATTTACTTGAAGTAAGTGCTTTGCAAGTGGATGCTCTCTCTCAAGATTGGTAGCCATCCATTTTCATGATGTCCTGTTCGTTGCAAGTTTGGGTTACGAATTTCTGCCTGGAACAAGCTTTGGGTGCTGATGCTGCGATGACGGAGTTCTCGCGGAGAATTGCTCAGTTGGTCTTAATTGCGGACTAGCCATTTTAAGACCAGTTTTGGCAAATCATAAAGTGCCTCTTCTTGGTCGCAGGTGGTAGGTAGGTGGTGCGCCTCCCGCCTTCTGCATTGTATGCCGATTTTTGAGTGGATGTCTCTGATCATTTTGGCATTGAGTATTTGTTTCGGGGGCAGGACAGCTTCTTGCGCTTCTTGCGCTGGATTGCTCCCTTCGTCCCTTCGTCTGAGGCCTGAGCTTGGGCCTGTCGCTCCACCGCTTCTACCGGCTGCTCCTTGGCGAGAGCGCGTCGAGCGGATCGTGGTCCAGGCAGCATGGGTGGCGCTTGTCCAGACCGTCCCGGCCTTTTGAGCTGCAACTTGGCTGACAGGATGCGACAGGCTGGTGAAGTCAAGAGCAAAGCAAGGAGGATCTCAACATATCTTACAGTAGCAATTCCTAAGGCGATTGTCACCAAAGTGCGGTTTGTGGTGGGAGAATGGCTAAACCAAGTTTCTTTATTTGGCCCCCTGTTTAAGTTTTAAGTCATCCCCACAGCATATCAGTTTTTCGATTTATTCTGTTGACCATTTGACGAGAGCCTTGGACCAGTTGAAGCTGAGGTTGGTGACAGTGGTGAACGTCTTCCAGTCCGGACATTTCCTGATTCAGGACCGACAGGTTAGACTGCGGCGATCATCAGGGTGTCCACCATAGTTTTCTCGTTGCTGTTTGCGCCGTTGGCTCTGCTGGGGGGGTGTCGTTGGAGTGTCCCTCGGCTGTGTCTCAGCCAGACTCATGCATCTCGCGCGCGAGAGAGAGAGAGAGAGCACCATTGTGTGCTTGGAAGATCTTGCAAATAGTATATGGGCGCTGGCTCTGTGCATT